GAAAAGTCTGCAGAGAAAAAGACTTGTTGTTTTCACTGTTTGCTTGTGGGTGGAGGGTATGTTTTAAATAAAACTTGTTTTGTTCAGAGAGGATCGGTTTTCTATGACCAGTGACATAAGTGAAGTCTCTATTACAAAGCCACAATGCATTTCAGTGTTGCTACAGAGAGCAGCAAGGCTGGCTTCCAATTCACCCACTCCCCCCTCCTTGATATGGTACTATGGACTAGGAAAACAGCTCTGTTCCTGACTGCCTTCTGTGCAAGCAGTCATTGGAGGGAGAAATGCATAAGCTGAGGCTCCCTTGCTGAGGGCCCTACATGGTGTGGAAGCTGTATGAACCTCCACATTAAAATTAATTATGACAAAACTCAAATCCATCTATTGGGAAGACCCTGATCCTGCCTCAATGCAATGGCATAGCAGCACAGCACCCTGACAGGGGAGTGGGTGCAACTGATGGACCCTGGTGGCTCCTTCCCTTTTTTGGGGCATAATGACGAACCTCTTGCAGACCTCTCCCTTGACTTTGTGACCCTGCCAGGTTCCTAGCTCTGCAGGTCATAAGGATGGAGGCTATATAATGAGAAGTGAAGTATCAGAAGACTTACCTAAGATCTTGCTGTAGTAGATATCCCAATGTCCCCAGTAGGTCTGGAAAACATAGTCTTGCAGATGGTAGGACACAAAGTTTTTTATTCTCTCAACAAAGGACATGTGGTCAGTGAGCTCAGACAGGGCTGCAGGTGTGTAGGACGGTGGGGTTGGGACCTTGCCACAGTGCCTCTCTAGGGTGAAGGCTGGAGAGAAGCGTAGAGAGTAGACAAAGGGGATGTCCAGCTTGAGAGCAATGAGTTCCCCGCAGGGGGTCACTGGGTCTGACAGCAGCATGTCATAGCCAGCCCCCTGCAGGCGAGCCATCAGCTCTGGGTTGGCTAGCACCGAGTCACACATCAGCTTGTTCATCTTCTGCCAGTCTACGGACAATCTCCCCAGCTCCTTATAAAAATGCCAGAAGGTCAAGATGGTTGGCCTGTTATTGAGCCACAGTGCCACTATTCCATTAATCAGGCTCTGAGGGAAATCTTTCTCAAAGGGCACGTTATAGAGCTCAATCTTCTCCCTGGCATTAGCCTTGGGTTCAATGAAGAGGGTAGCGTTGGATACCAGGATGGTAACGCTGTGCCCGCGGCGGATGAGTTCTTGTATAATTACATTCATGTTCAGCCAGTGGCTGCCTTCTGTTGGCCAGACCAACACCTTCCCACAGAAAACAGGCCCTAGAAGAGCAACCTGAAGAAGGAGCAGCTGGACATATTTCTTTGAGCTGCTGGTTTTTGTGGCCATGGCAGAGTTAAGGGCTAGACGGCCTGGGAATTTTCCCTTCCGGTTAGGAATGCTGCACCTCTGTGTTGTGTTTGATGACTCCTTACTAGCACTCTTAGCAAAAGGAAGAGTTTGCTGTCACACAGGTGGTGCCTTTATAACCCACGTTTGGTCTCAGTTCTGAAAAGACAGGAAAAGGTATTTGGTGATTCATTTTTCCCTTTCTGCCTTCTACCCAGTTAGTTTTCCCTTGAGGGAGCTCCTTTCCCTGGTTAGCAGGGTGGTAGCAATCCTCACTGCTGTGAAAGGATCCAGTCCCCTGGATGGCAGCTCTGAGGCTCAAAAAAATCCCTTGCATTGTTTCCATAAACTAGCAATGCCAGAGGCAGGACAAGGAAGGAGACATCACAGGGCTAGCTTGGAAGTGGCATCCTTTTTCACAGTGAGATGCTGGAAGTGCTGATATTTCCCACACTGAGAGAAGGCAACAAATCATTCATTTGGTTGATCATAATGCCAATAATAACATGCAGTTTGTTCTGATAGGTGACAGGTGGCTTCCAATTGCTCCCAGACAACTCTTAACATAGGGAGTGCCTAGGGCACATCACCACCAACCTGGCTGCGTTGTTGGCTCATTTCAAGTGTCAAACATGGGTCTGGCCCCTCAAGGTGCTTCTCAGAGCAAAACCTACATCTTCTGGGATGGCTCTCACTTGGAAAGTTGTCCTTCGAATGTAAGCACTACGCCCTGGAAGGAGCTCTTAACCACAAGGAGACAGAATTACAGCTGAAACCCACACAGATAATGATATGCTCAAACCAACACAATTTGGGGAACAAATGCATGCAGCAAAAAACTCTTACCTAGCGTAGTCTTCCAAGGTACATTAGCATCATGCTCTGAGTTGCAAGGTGCAATTTGCTACACCAGTTTGCGTCTGTTCCTTGACACTCCCCTGCTCTCTGCCTGGGCTACTCCAGTGGGATTGATTGGTTATCAGACAGAAGCAGCTTAAGTAAGTTACCCTCTGAACTGGACTTTTCACAAGGAGGAAGTAATAAAATACGGGATGGTGGCAACAAGGCATGTATTCTGTGTTTATTCATTGATTTGTTATGCTCTGGGACTGTAATAGTTGAGGCGGTCTTCCCCATGCTAGGGTATATTATAATGTTATTACAGAGCCAGATTCTCAAGAGGACTTTGCATACTGTAGCTCGGAAATGTGATGTCTGACTGCTAAAAAGATTTTTTTTACTCCCTATAAGGTCCCAGGTGGCTAAACAAAATTGTTTGTTAGGTATATAGATTTGTTTATAAACTGTCAACAGGAATAAGGAGAGAATCTTGTGGTTTGTTTGCAGAGGTTTTCTAAAGTTGGTATGTTACCTGTACTGGCTGTGTGACTCTTAATTCTGAAGATCTTTTCAAGTTTTTAATAACCTGAAAATATAGGAATCTAAAGGTACATCTTCAAGGTCTTTAAATATCATCCATGACATTCAACCAGGCTTTTTCTAAACCCTCTGAGGGGTTTGACCAGTAGTTTGGCCTCACAGCCAGGAATTTCACTACAGTCTCTTCACAGACCTTTGTATCCAAGATAATATTTTTTTTCAGGCTAATTTAGCTTATCTTGTAAAGTCCTATAAGAAACTTACAGCTTTTCCGACAACTGTGGAAAGGCCATGTTCATGTGGGCTAGAACAGATCACAGAATCATAGAATATCCTGAGGTGGAAGGGACCCACAAGGACAACCCCAAGATTTGCACCATATGCCTGAGAGTATTGTCCAATCGCTTCTTGAGCTCTGTCAGGTTTGGTGCTGTGATCACTTCTTGGATGGGAACTAGGTTTTTGTTCCAATCCCTTAGTAAGGAATTCCTCCGTAGCAAATGAGAGCTATTACTAGGGGAACCAGAGGATTAAATTTGTCTTGTTTCCATGGCCAGCTTTTAAAGATGATACTCAGATTACTCAGATCAGAGAAGATAAGAATTTTGAGAGGATTAAAGGACAAAATCCAGCAAATGAGTGAGAAGTGGAGCAGAAGAAAAATGGTCTTAAGTGCCTGTATTTCACACATCTAACATTACTAAGTAGAAGTGCTGCAGACAGTGATGCAACCTCCAGCCTTCTTAAATAACAACAGGCTTTTCAAGGCTAAGGCCCTTATGCAAAAGTTAGGCAATGCAAACTAGTGTTTTCTTACGGGTCTCTTCACTATTGTGCTGTCTGGATGGGGGTTATGGTGTGCATGGCACCTTTATTTCTAGAAAACCTTGATACCAACCAGAACCTCAAAAAGTCAGAACCAGGGTGGAAGAGGGAAGCTTTTGCCCTGAAGAAGCACCAAATGACTCTCTGGTTTCCCTTTCACTTAATGCAATAAAGCAGCTTCTGGTCTGAAAGCAGACTTAAAATTTTGTCTTCATTATCTTCGTTTCTGAGGTGGGGGGGAAGGGGAAGGGAGGAGGCAGAAGTGAGCAGATTGAGCAATTCTGCAGAGCCGAGTGTGCATGTGCTCAGTAAAACACCCATTTCCATGTAAGCCCCAGGGTACAGGGAAACTCCAGCTGAAGTTAATGAGCTGAAATAGCCTCACTATGACCAACTTTCTCAGATAAAAGTATCTTTATAGCTCTACCCTGCAGCTGCAGGACAAAAATACCAGGGGTTAGGCTTACAGTATTTCACTTGGATTTTTTGATTCAGCTTAAGATTTTATGAACTGTATTCACTGCTGCGGCAAAACTGCAGGGGCACCTAGGCATGTAAACATACAGGCACCAAGGTGGCTCACACTGGAGCCATTTCCACTCCGCAAGCCAAAACACTAAAGAAATCAGAGAAGGTTTATGCCAAGCTTTATGTCCGTGCTGGGAATTGCGCACTGTTGGTGGAGAATAGGTACTGCAGCTGTCCTTGTCAGCTCTACAGTGAAGAGCAGCAGCAGACTTGCCAAAGCTACCTGCAGATATGGTACACTGTCTTGCCAGCATATATCTGAACCCCCAGGGAAAGCTCTGCTCTATACTGATGGGCAAGTTTGCAAATCCTGAGGGTATAGACATGATGGGACTCATCTAACAGCTCATCAGCCCAGAGAGGAGGAGATGCTCTCTCCCTTCCACCTTTTCATGCATTTTGGTGTTCATGCTCCCATGGCAAGCCCTTCCCTGTGACAAGTCAGCTTGCCAGTGATTTATAGTAGTGAGTTAGTTTGCTGCTGGGGCACAAAAGAGCTGGGCAAAGAACAGGCAGTCTATCATGGCCGGGGCAGCCTGGGCACAGGGCACAGAGCGTCAGTGACAGAACCTCCACACAGACCAGAGGTCACTGCAAACATCGCTGTACCAACCACTGGGGACAGGGGGCCCATTTGGGAGGACAGGAGTACACTCAGTGCCCCAGCAAGGCAGGGGGTACCCATGGGGTGCCAGCATCACCCAGACCAAGCACCTTTCCCATTGCCTCAGCACCATGGGGGAGCAGGAAGCTGGGTCCCAGAGGTTATTGCAGCAGACCTCACTGCAGGGGAAAGTTTAAGGCGGCTGATTACACCCAAAAGTACCCCAAACCCACCAACCTGGACCCCACAGCATGCAGCTCTGTGTGGCTGAGCATGGGCAGAGCACCCA